TATCACGTTATAACGTGATAGCGCTCGAAATTTTTTTTTTCCTGCGTGATAGCAATGCGCTTCCGTAACAATCAATAAACAATGTGAACATGTACCATAAGTGAAAATTTAAGTGAATGTTTTTGGAATGAGGATGCTTGTGGACTTTTTCCCCACATATTTTTATTTAAAAGAAAAAAAAAAAGTAGTTTTGACAACATTTTGAAATTTAACCTGTTATGCTTTTTTGACAAAACTTCTGCTGTAGAAAAAGATGAAGTAAACATTACATTTATAGCGAACCCTTGTTTTTCTTAGGGGTTGCGTTCCGAAAATAACCCATGATATGCGAAATCCGTTAAGTAGTTACCTTTATTTTTTTACAGTTATTACACAGCATAAATAAATACTCTACATTGAAACCAAATAACAAAACCTGTTTTCAGATCAGCGGATGTGCGTGTGCATCAATCGGGCCTTAATGTGATCTGGAGTCATGTCATTAAAGCGTCTCCTCCAAGCTGCTTTGCGACATTCACATCGCAGAGCGATGGATCTTGTCGGGTTTTGCGCTGCCTCTGGCCACAGTTTCTTTCCAGCAGGCATTGAAAGTTTCAGTTTCCATCTCCTGAATGGCCAATCTCTAAATACTAACTTTATTGGGACTCGGGTAGAGAAGAACGTGGAGACTGTTTTTAGTTTTTCAATCAGGACGCAGAACACTGTAGGAAAAACAACTGCACAAAAAAATCTGCGAAGCAGCGATACCGTGACAAGTTATAGCGAGGGTTCACTGTATCTGAAATAATTTATAAAAAGCAACTGAGAAATTTGTAGAATGGATGTATATCTGAGTTTATCTAGGTATTTATTTTCATGCCTGGCCTCATAATGCCTCAACATTGAAAAGGTGGATTTATTTAAATAAGACAGTTTAATCAAACATATGCGACACTTAACCTGCAGAACATAATATGAAAGTAAACCAAGAGTAAATTTCAGCTGAATTTGGATTCAGATAGATCAAGTAGAAACTGACAAGAACCAGATGAAACAACAAAATGAAAACAAATTTATTTTCCAATACAAGATCAAAATGGTCCCACACTGCAGAGACCTTTCGTTTGAGGCTGCTCCATAGTTTATGCTCTACCGTAAAATATCAAGAATTCGTTTGGCAAATGCTTTTGACAGATTTGCTTCCTTAACAGTTTGGCGCGTTAATGTCATTTCGAAACAGTTCCTGTATCGGTCACGTGACTTGCTGAAACCAATACGCGACCAACACAGGTGGGCTTGACACTCGCTGTCACTGTCACTTACCCTGCAGACGTGGAGTCACAAAACCAATGTCTGGGATCATGAGCGCCCCCTGCCACGAGGCAAGAAAACTACCTGCCTCACCTCGAATCTGTTCTCAGCTGTTAATGATCACTCCTTAGCACACGAAACACGTTACACACACAATTGGTGACAAAAACAATGTACATATAAGCTGAATTATGGAAAATCAGTTCATATTTTAAATGTTTTTAACCATTTTATTGGCAACATACAGAACATACTCTCAGAATAGCAGCCATGCAGCGCAGTTAGCGAGAGGTTGCGCAATCCAAGGTGAGGCTCAGCTCGCTGCTGCCTCACCAGCTGCGCGTCTGAGCATTTGTATGGGAAATTGCAAAAAAATCAGCTATTTTGAGGAGAAAAAAAAATCAAAATTGGTTAAGCTAAATGAAAAGTAAATACTTTATAGTACAAACCACAGGGTGAATATAGCAATATAAATTATCATATTAATTTTCCATGATGACAAGTGAGGCTCTGCCTCACCTTCCTCTCCTGACGACATGTCACTGATTATATATGTGTGTGTGTGCGCGTGTGTATGAAAAAGGCAAGATAAGTCAAGAGATGATACATTTTACATTATATATTTTTCATAAAAATCACAGATGCAGTAACCTCTCACAAAATACATGTATCAAAAGTGAAGATCAGAGTATGTGATTCCAAAGGAACAATCATGTATTTCTAGTTAATCTTAGTGGCATACAAACTCAGTCAGATCACATGTTTATGTTCTAGTCACCTGCTAAACAAAAAGCACAAGGTGTCCTTCTGGTCATTAGATAAAGTACATCACCCATTTGTGATAAGGATTGGACAGACTGAAACAATTTTGTTTTAAATGCTGGGGGCCCTCATTTTCTTATAGCAAAAAGGCCAGAAAAGTTCCATGTTGATATTCATGACAACAGACAACATTTATTGCATTATATATAAATTAATCTCTTGCGATGACATGGCTTTAAGACATGAAGTAACAATCACAGAGATCTTACTGTTACACTGTGTGGAGATTTTAGAGTTTGAGTTGGAGCTTCCAGTGTTTCTCAGTGTTCCCCCAGATCTGCTTCTCAGTAAACCAGTAATGGCTTCCACAAGCCATTACTGGTTTGTGAAAGCCATTAAGGTTTTGCTGCTATTTGAGGAGAACTGAGGCTGCTTCTCTGATACAGGACACAGCCTTCTGAATGTCGTCATCCTTCTGTTTGACGGTGACCACTACCCTGATGCTGGAGATAAACAAGACAAGGTGATGGGTAATGTTAACACCTTTCACTTCACACAATTATAAACATTTTCTGAAAAGCTGATGGTAAGTTAACTTGTAAAACACTTTCCCCAAACCATCTTGACTACCACAATTTTGATGTGAAGGGCCTTCTCTTGGTAATGGAGCACCTCACCTCATTTTCAAGCATAATGCCAGCTATCCTATGGAAGAAGCTCATTTCAGCCATGAGCTGGACATTTCAGTCATTCTCCCCAAGCACTTTCGTCTTTACAACTGTACCCTGAGGTCTTGATCAGGGTCAGGGTCAGATGGCAATGTCCATCTCACATTTGGAACAATGTGAGTTCTTCTAAAATCATGGACACACCTTTTGCTTTGGAGCTGAGATAGTGTTCAAAAGCATCTCCAGCACTCCTGGACATGGTCATAAGCTTTCTCCAGATGCAAAAAAACACACCTAGACCAAAGCACTGAAATCCTATAACCGTCTCAGGAGATTCACCAGGGAAAGATCTGATCCACTGTTTCATACGTAAATGAAAGTTACAGTTCAACTATAGCAAGAGTCCTTTAAATCACCCAGTTGCTAAAAGGTCTTTTCTAGCTACAAAGTGCACCTCTGCCATGTCAATGGACTCATTTTTCCAAGTCCTAAGACTGCCCCTGTAGCAGAAAGCATGGAGATCTTGGGTCTCCTATACAAAACATTGCACAAGGTCTATACTAAAATTGTATGTATGTGCAAAGTCAAAAATGACATGCCAAAAAATCCATGCACGAACACACATGGAGGATCACATCAAGAGCCAGCACCTGATGGGGCAGCTACTGACCCCTTCAGGCTACAACGGAAAAGTGCATCAGTACATCAGGCCCCAACAGTTCAAATTTCCTTCTTGATTTTTTCATTTGCAAGGTCTTCCAGCAGTGTTGATGCATCATGCATTCATTATGCATGAGTGTCACTACAGCTTATACATGCCGACAGTAATCAGTTTGATTACTTCACATTTTGTGTTTACTTGAGGTTCACAATCACCCTGGTGATCTTCCAGGAAAAGGAAGGTGATGTTGAGAAAACTAATGAAATGTGCAGACATTGATTCAAGATTTAAGGCTTATAGTCCTTTTTTATTCAAAAGTTCCTTATGTATAGTTATGGCTGACTAGCTGAAGCCTAAAGAGTACTGCTGGTTTGAATGCTTATGATAAAGTGTATGATAAAAATTAAATGTCTGAGTAATCATGATTCTCCACCTCAACATGTGTCAC